GGGGGGGGGGTTTGAAACAAAGACTTGTCTGTTATTTGTTAGGTTTATTCAGGGAAACCATTTAATAAAATATATAAATCTGAACAATGTTTGTGGACAGCAGCATGTGCACAGCAAAGCAAACAGGAAATAAATAAAACGTGTTTGTATCAAGTCAGCGTTCAGTTAAAGGTTTTAATGAACATCTAAAAAAGTTAAATCTGGTCCTCTGGACATTCAATGTCCAGAGGACCAGATTTAACTTTTTTAGATTTTTCTGCCTGGATTATTGAGCATGCATCAGGATGTTTTAATTAACACATTTGAACACGTGCACACGTATTCTACAAGATAAAGTCAAGCACCTGCAGTGAGCGACAACTGAACTTTAGGTTGTTCTGATTGTTTTCACACTGCACATTAAAATGGGTCTGAAGTTGTCTCCAAGCAGCTCTAAGTTTTCAGAGGAACGAGAGGACAATTATCAGCAAATCCTTAAAAAAGTGAATTATTCGATCAGCTCTCGTGTTTCATGCAGAGGAAGGGTCTCAAAGTTAAAACGTGGACATTTAGACTGAGATCCAAAAATAAAATCATCTGTTTAATAATCCGATCAGCTGCACTTTAAGATTCAATGAGATTCTTTTGGATCCGTATGTCAGCTCTCTGCCAACATGACTGAACTACAACCCAACTTATTTAACTTGCTGTTGGTTCTGAAGCCCTCAGGAGAATTGTTTTCTCAGACATCTTCCTCTGCATTCCTGCTACTTTTCCTGTTTCCTGCAGGGTGTGTCCTACGCTCTGAAAACAGGAGTTTCCCTGCAAAATCACATTTACGTCTAGATTTATCTACAATAAACAGATTAGTCATGATCATCCGGACAACTTGAAGACACAAAACCAATCTATTATGAGTCATGTTGAGCCTATCCATCTTCATCCGTCTGCTCAGAGGTTCTTTTGGACCGGTTCCCTCGAGAACACATGCTTTTGTTTTTGCTCAGAATGCTGGTGTCGACGCGAGACAGGGTGCACATGCTGCTCTGGTGGCACGGTCGAAGTCTCGTGTTTTGGAGCTCCAGCTCATCGTAGCTTGACATTTGGACAAAGGGACACCAGCGGAAAACCTGCTTGAATCCAGCCCGGAACCTGCAGCCAGAAACAAGCCGGACCTGTCAGCTGGGTTGAATGATGAATTTAAAAGATCTCTGACTAGTTGGAACAATAGACCTTATTTCATGAACAACTACTTCAGCTATAAAAACGAGACTGTAAAACTACTGTAGGCTGTTTAGTTTGTATAACGCTTAAATAATTAATGGCATATTGATAGGTTCATTTTGTAACGCTGCAGTGCATTATGGGTAAATGACGAGGCAGGCTGCTCTGGTGCGAGCTCCATTCAACTTTAATTTTGAACCAGAGTGCGTTGACAGAGAGGAGAATGGAAAATTATAGCTTTTATGTTAGCTCCAGAGCTAATAAATTAAACATCACAGTTTGATCACGTTTGATCGTTCTGACCCATGTACTGTGCATGACTAATAAAAAATTTAACTTTATTGTCACATGCATGACGTTTCAGCCTTGACTTCTTGTGTATCAGTCTCCTCTACAACCTATGTACGTCACCGCTCCAAAATGCATTGTGCCGGTAAAATAATGGCAACATCCTTGGGTGAAAAATTTAATTAAAAAAAATAATGTTTTCAGTAATTAGGAGTTTTCACGTGTCACAAACAACAATATTTAGAATAGAGAAATAACATACGGTAATAAGGCCGATATGTGCCAGTCTTCGGGCATGCTTTAAGACATGAATACCCACCTGCTGTTGAGGCAGCAGTAGATGATGGGGTTGTACATGGTGGAGCTCATGGCCAGCCACAGCACTGACAGGTAAACCTGCTGGATGTACTTCCACTTCACCAGACGCTTGTTGAAACCCGTCACAATGAAGTAGACGTGGTACGGCAGCCAGCAGAGGGCAAAGGTCACCACCACAATGATCATCATCTTCACCACCTGCAGGAGGAAGGAGACAAAGCTGAATGTTTGATCAACCTGACTGAAGGAAGTGGTCCTGGGAATCATTTCTGGGACACTTCTGTCTCCCCCTTATGTCTGATGTGTATAAAACAAAACAAACAATCTTTAGTAGCATGAGCAGAAGGATTTTTCAAGGACTAATCCACAAGTCAAATATTACCAAGTGGTATGAATACATCATGCACAAGCAGTAGGGATTTGAATAGTGAATATTTGCAATTTGGATATGAACGTTTTTCAGGATGGAATCGAACAGAGAATGAAGTAAACTTAGATATTCAAATGGGTAGAAGTTGCACAGTGGAGAAGTACAGAGGACGTTTTTTTTTTTCTTGTCTGAGGTGGAGCAGAGTGATGGATCCTGGAGAGTGGAGGGAGACATTTTATCACCACCAGGTTCAATGGAGGAGCCAGGGGGTAGCCAGTGGTGGCATTGGCCCCGGTAGATTAATTTTTGGCCACCCCAGTCATTTGAGGTAACTATACGATTTATTAAAATGATTTGGTTTACAGGTCCGGAGGCCTTTCTGGGTGGAGTTTGCATGTTCTCTTCGTGCATGCATGGGTTTTGTCCAAGTTCTCCGGTTTCCTCCCACAGACCAAAAACATGCATGTTAGGCTGATTGGTAACTCTAATTGTCCCTAGGTGTGAGTGAGAGAGTGAATGGTTGTTTGTCTCTATGTGGCCCTGTAATGGACTGGAGACCTGTCCAGGGTGTACCCCGCCCCTCACACAGTGATTGCCGGACATGGGCACTGGCGACCCCCGTGACCCAAAATGGAAGAAGCGGGTAAAGAAAATGGATGGATAGATTTGGTTCACACACACACACACACACACACACACACACACACACACACACACACACACACACACACACACACACACGCACACACATACACACACACACACACACACACACACACACACACATATATATATATATATATGGTGGCAGCCATCTTGAATTCTTAAGTGGCAACCCAATTTTTGATAGTGACCCTTAGATGCAGCTACAGTCGGTACCTCACTCCTTTTTGAAGCTATGATTACAAAAGCAGGACAGATAGACAAACAGTATTTCTAGTTCCCAGTCTTGGCTTCACAACGGGGGACAAAAGGAAGATAGTATTTTAGGAGCTCTCATAGATCCAGAAATGGTAAATAAAGTACAACTCAGTCAGAAGTTACAACAAATGCGCAGCAGCTTAAAAAGCAAACACTCAATAATTTGAGAAACTATAGACAATTGGCAAAAGTCAACAAATATCATAAACATGTTAGTGTTTGTCGTAGAATAAACTGATTGAGAGACAATCAGGTGTAGACTTCATCAAACTTATTACGAAGCTTCACAGAGAGTCCATAAGTGTTCAGCACTTTCTCGCCTGGTTTTTCTTGTCTTTTAGGAAAAAAAATAACTTTACATAAAATTTAAATTCACTAAAGTCCAAATCCCTAAAGTTAAACAAACTCAGGTAAAAAAATAAAAATACAGCAGTTAACCTGAAATACATCAACTGGAGCAGTTTAAAGAGTTTCACCTTGTAATTTTACAGATATATCGATGTGCAGTTCTGAAATAAGGGTCCTCGCTCAACGTAAACAAATCCACTAACACCAGGTGGACGCTTGAGTCACCTGACCGACCTGCTGTGACATAAACAAATATGGTGGAGCGGGAAAATCTCAGGCGTCTAGGTGGAAACCGAAGAGAGATACCGCTGAGGCTAACGATTATTTCCTTCCATCCTCATCATCACATTTTCCATTGAATGAGAGCAGAGCAGCTACTATATGAAGACAGGTAAAGGTCAGCGATGACGCACCTGACCCAGCAGGTCCAGTCATACGGGTGGGAGAGGACGGCAGAACTCATCAGAACAATGGAGAGCTGCAGGAGGCTCTGCTAACAAACCCACATAAGAGTGACAGATTCTGTCTCTGGACCTTTGGATCACTCCTCGTTTTCTGACATTCAAAAATCATTTTTAGCTTCATTCAAAAGAAATTAGGACCACTGAGGAGTTTTTGTTGCTGCCAACCTTTAAAGATGACAAACAGTGGATTTACATCCGTTTCTTTTTTTACATCCGCATGAAAAATGAATATAATTTAGTTTCCAAGTGCCAAAAGCCTCAATAGAAACTGACCACATATTAAAATAAAAAACAATTCTTAAAATGAAATGCAAATTATTATTATTTTTTATCAATGAATGATTCCCAGCCCTGAGCCTCGTACACGCTCATGTCGACTAAATAATCTGGGGTGTTATTTGTGGTATTTTTGATTTTATCCAATGAACCTTGTTTTCTAATCCTCGAGCTGTCTCGGTTGATGCTCATCGACGCAGCTGGGCCGTTCTTAATCCTCCTGCAGCAAACGCACAGAGAAGCCTCGAAAAACTCTCCCAAACCGATCTGAGCGACGACGACGCAGCTGCCTCTCATCACGTGAAGTCCTCTTTGTCTTTACGTCTGCTCGTTACTGTAGGTGGCTGACAGAAACTACCGGACAATTTCAACCACGACCCTAAAATGTTCATTGATTTTTTTACAATAAAATCTCTTAGTGCTTCACAGCAAGTCAAAGTTTTATAATTTGTAGTTTATGAAGAGACAGTTGTTGGCAACAACCATCCACTGTTCGTGTGAACAGATTTATACAAATTGATTTAAAATGCTCCTCCTTGAATCTCCACCTCATTATGGAGGAGTTTATGTACCTCAATGATCCTAGGAGCTCTGCTGTTGGGAGTTATGCGTCCCAGTTAGGGTCTCTCGAGGTAGATTGCTCCTGGGTAATGGGCCAGACAAAGAGTGATACAGAACACTTGTTCAAACGGAAGACAGCGTGGAGCTCTATGTCCCTGCACTAGAGGTTGGCCCGATTAGGCTCATCCAAATACGGCACATGTAATTGCCTTCCTGTGGGCCCACCACCTGCAGGAGGGGATGTACGAGTTTGTTGAATGGTGCTGTGGGTGGTAGCCGGAGGCAGGAGCTTTAGTGCTCTGACCCTGGCTTACCACAGCTGGCTCTTGGGACATGGAACGTAATGTCTCTGGTAGGAAAGGAGCCTGAGCTTGTGCATGAGGTTGGGAGGTACTGACTAGATGTTAGAGTCTGACCGATATATCGATAGGGCCGATATTTTAAGCTGATGTAGGTGTTTGGGGTATCGGCATCTGTGATAATTGTCTCATTATGCACTGATATAAACACTGGGAACCAGCCAAAATTGTACAATGTATCCAGCAGAGGGCGCATGAAAACTACTTTTAAGTCATGGTCGTTCACTTTAAGTTTCACTTTCATCACAGCCGAAGCAGCAAACAATACAGTGTTGTGTATTTTGCTGAACAGAGCATGGTAAGTTTATTTTAACTGATCTGTATTAAAAAAAATCAACAATAATAAATTATCTTCAATCCTCCAACCTGCTTGTCATTAGCTACGTGCCTCTCAAGTTAGCAAGCTAACGTTTAGATAACCTAGCATGGCCTATTGCCTTGTAAAACTTTATCCAGAACAATAAATCTAACGTAGCGGTAAAACATATTAACATTATCTTTGTTGTATTCCGTGAAGTGCATCGTTTCTCTGAAATCTTTAATTCTCTGCAAAGAAAAATAAACTCTGCTGCGGTCAATACTAATCAGGCCTTCACCGTACGTGACTGTTGAAACAATGAACAGGGAACGGCGTCCCGTTGTTTAATTTATATTTTTGTAACACATTTGATAACTTTATGGTGAATAGTGGAGGACAGAAAATGTGAATGCACGTTAGGAAGACAGTTTCAAGACTTCAAGCGTTAAAACAGGTTTAAAAGCTGCTGTTTACTTAAGATTCTTGGGGATGGACAAAGCTCAACAATTTCATCCATTACATCAGTTATTGGCATTAGCCCTCCCTATATCGGTATCGATAGCCAAATTGTCCAGTATCGGTAGTGCTCTACTAGATGTAGTCACACAGCATGGGAACCAGTCTCCTTGGTGTGGGTCTTCTTTTAGCCCCCCATCTTGGTGCCTGTGAGTTTTCCCCAGTAGGTGAGAGGGTAGCTGCCCTGCGCCTTCTGGATTGAGCCTTAGTGAAACTTGGTCTTCTCTCATATCTTGACTGTGCTACACATTCATTTGTTTCCTTTACTGTGAACGCACCAAACCATGATTTGAAAAGCGAGGTGCGGACTGAGCTGGGGTTTGTGTGTCGTCACACCCTTAATAAGAGCCTGTATTGTGCTGTAATGTTTTATAACTTATTCTGACCAAACGTCATAGATGTAATATTAATTGATGCTCTGCCATGCTGTATCAGTTGTTCTTGTTGTTTTGACCTTTTTATGATTAGCCATAGATGTTGCTAGCAGTGCTAGCTTTCAGCTGCACACACCTGTTCTCCATCTGTCATCAGCTCTCAGGTCTCCACTCAGCAGTCTGAGAACCACTGACTCCTGTTCATGGTCAGATTGTTTCTCTGTTTGATGTCGGCAGGACACCCGTTTGCTTCAGGGGGATCCCATAAAGATTCCAGTTTGCTCCAGCATTGTTCTGGATGTCTGGGTGTGGGTCCAATCCATCCACCATTTCATCAACATTAAGAGTAATTTATAAAGTATAGGGTTTTTAGCTGTTCAAAGACTAAATGAATACCTCCAGCGTATTCTTTGCTGCCTCTCTGTGGTCTCACAGATCAGCTGTGGGTGAACATAAACGTAAATGTTTAAATGTTTCATCCAAAGACAAAGACCTTTGATAAGAAAATGTTTCAAAGGTCTTTTTGTCTTCACGTTTGCTTTTAGATCAAGTGTTTATTCTGTAAAGAATACCAACACTTAGTCTTGGTGATACTTGTCTATTTTCATTTTCTGCTAAAAATGAAACTTGTAGAATTTGTGCAACTCTAACCAGATTTCTGTGACGTGCTCCTTTCTTCTTCTAATCAAATAAGAGTGCATGAGCGAGCCTCGCCCTTCCTGCTTCACCCAATGAACTGGTTTCACTTTGACTTGTCAACAGATCTACAGGGCAAAACAAAAACGTTTCATGAATTTTATAAATTACCTTCCTTTTTGCACTGAGCTGGGCGTGGTAGTTATCAGATGAGTCTCCAGGGACCTCACTCCCCCACAGCGACACCCCCACGATGGTGTATGTGACACCCATCACCGCTAAGGGCAGCACGTAGACCAGGACTGTAACGATGATGTGGTACCTGCACAAATAACGGAAACACGGGACTATATCACGCTGATGGTCAGAGCAGCGAGAGACAGGAGCTGCAGCGTTTATGATGGAAGACAGGACCGTCCATCTTTATGGGCATGAAATGGTGGCTGTGAGCGGCCTCACGTGAAGGGGTCGTCAGCTGTGCGGGGCCAGGCCACATAGCAGAAGGTTCTGCCTGGTAAGGTCCTGGTGCTGGAGAAGTAGCAGAGAGGGGAGGCCAGGACCACGGCCAGGCTCCAGATACAGAAGATCACTCCGAGTGTGGCTTTAGAAGACAGCCGGGGCTTCAGGGGGTGGATGATGGCCGTGTACCTGGGACGAGGAGACACCACTCAGAGAACCCTGAAAACAGCGAGCGTGAAGAGCTCGTAACCATCTAAATGTTCAGTTTGGTCCGATCCGAGACTCGGGGGTTTGATTCCCAGGCCTGCAGCAGGTTGACCTGTCCCTGTGCCCCTACAGCCCTCCATACTCTTATCAGTCCATGTGTTTATGAGTGAGAATAGAAATGGGTGTAAAATATAACCGTAAGGTGAATCTGGACGTTTCTCTGAATGTGAGCAGGAAACAAAGCTGCAGGTTACAAACATTTCTTAACTGAGGTCTATTTATTATTTACGTCGTCCTCTACGCCAGACATGGATGATCTTAATGAAGCCACCAGCACTCGTATCAAACACACCTTTACTGCTGATACAGCCTTGGAGGAACATTTTGCCCACCTTTTGTCTCCTCTAACAAAAATCTAATTGTAAGATATTGATCAAAGTGTTCTTTTCTGTATTTTCATCCTCCTCCTGAAGTTTCTCCCATCATCACATCCTGCGTATTTTAAGACTCAAAAGTACCATATCACATCCTAACTCAGAGTTGAATAGCGTTGACTGTGAACATTAACCAGTTGATTAGCCCCTGGGTTTCAGGATCGTGTGTCTGGTGGTCCGGTTCTGTCAGAGACAGAGCTGACTGCTGGAGTTTGAACACCTGGTTCCATGAGGTGTTCATTCCTGAAATTCCAGGAGATGTTTCCATCACACAACATGCTCCCTGAAGCCCAAAATGAATTATGATGTGTAACACCAGATGATAAAAAGCCTCCAGACCTAGAGGATACATGAATTATGTAAAATATTATAATTCACATAAATATAATTTATGTTAACACATTAACATCTCGGTTTTAATCAGCAGTTCAGAGTTTTCTCTGATTTTTTAAGAATGATTTTAATAAATTTCATTTTCCCTGATCAAGTGAAGGCATGCACTGTTAGCATAATATCTGTAAGAAGAGAGGAGCTGGAGACATTCTGAGTTCATGAAGGTCAGCTGGCAGTAGCAGCCGTCTAAAAGACTCATTCAGGAGGTCGTGAGATATTTTGCTAACAGAAGAAGCCTGTCGCGCGCGCCGCGGGTCGGACCGTACCTGTCCAGGGCGATGGCCGTCATGGAGTAGATGCTCGCGAACACGGCGGTGACGGGGAAGAAGTTGTGGAAGCGGCAGTAGAGCTCTCCGAAGTACCACTGTCCGTGCGCGGCGTACACGAAGTTGATGAGCGAGTTGAAGGCCGCCGTGCACGCGTCCGAGACCGCCAGGTTGAGCAGGAAGTAGTTGGTCACTGTCCTCATGCGTTTGTGCGCCACGATGATCCACACCACCACCAGGTTCCCGACCACCGCCACGGCCAGCGCCGTGACGTAGGCCACGGACCAGAGCGCGAGGCGCCACGCCGGCTGCACGAACTGGTTGCTCAGAACCCTGCTGCTGTTGGACCCGTCCCGTTCTGGAGCCATTCTCGAGCTGGACCGGTTCCGATGGAGAGGAGGACTGTGATGATGCTCTGCCTGACTGGTACACTGGTCCTGATGCTGAGCCGGTCTCTGCGGGGTCGAGGGGGCGGGTCCTGCCTGCACTGTCTGGTCCGGTCCGGTCCACTGTCATCAAAACCTGATCCCGGACTTTAAACGGAGCCTTGTGGACCTCTTTAATCACAAAACTAAAACTGAAGTATTTTAAACTTTTTTTTATTTTTATTAAATACTAGTTCAGAAAAAGGTGTTTCTGTTGCTTCATTTTCTAAAATAAACCTGTAGAAGCTTTTGAGTTTTAACATGTTTTATGTAAATATTGAACTATTTATTTTCAGCTCAGATAAAACATATTAACATTATAATTATAAACATGTTTTATGAGGGTTTGTGAATAAACAATATTTCTGTTTCCTGTTGATGTTTGATGCTCATCTTCAGAACCCAGAGCAGAGCAAACAGGTTTTATAGTATTGACGAAATATATTTGTATTTTCACTAAATATACCTAACAAATATTACCACAGTGGCACAGAGCTGCTGCCTCTCAGCAAGCAGGTCGCTGGTTTAAATCCTGGCCGGGGGCCTTTCTGGGTGGAGTTTGCATGTTCTCTCTGTGCATGCGTGGGTTTTCTCTGGGTACTCCAGTTTCCTCCCACAGACCAAAAACATGCATGTTAGACTGATTGGTAACTCTAAATTGTCCCTAGGTGAGAGTGAGAGAGTGAATGGTTGTTTCATTTGTCTCTGTGTCCCTGTGATGGACTGGAGACCTGTCCAGGGTGTACCCCGCCTCTCACTCATTGACTGCTGGACATGGGCACCAGTGACCCCGAAAGGAAGAAGTGGGAAAAGATGATGGATGGATAACAAATACTGATAAATCATCCATTATCCATTAATCATCCATCATCCATACATCATTCATTATCCATCATTCATACATCAT